AGAGAGAGAGAGAGAGAGAGAGAGAGAGAGAGAGAGAGAGAGAGAGAAAGAAAAAAGGAAAAAGCTACGGCGGAGGTTGGGGAGGGGAAGAGAAGATGTCTCTGGCGGTGCGGCCATCTCAGCTCTTGGATTTGGCGAGCCAGGCAGGAGTTCTCAGGGTCTCCCCCCCCCGAGTGGCTCGTGGCTTCGGTAAGCCCCGCCCCCATGCTGCCGACTCCTGGGCTTCTTGCTCAGTCCTCCTCATCCTCGCTGATGTCGTAGCTGGCCGTCGACTTGTTCCGGGGGAGGCCGGCAGGAGACAGCGGGGGCGTCCGGGCGGTGAAAGGCCAGCGGAAGGAGGGCGAGGGCGAGCGGTCGTGCGTGGGGCTGCTGCTGGGGCTTTGCTTGGGGCTGATGGCCTGCAGCATGCGGCCCTTCCCTTCTTTCAGCATGTGCTTCTGGACAAGGCGGGGGAGAAGAGGAAGAAAGAACGCCATTTAACACAAAGGAGTCCACTTTCGAACGGTTTACAGGAGCCCTCCAGTTATGACCGTTGTGTTAAATGTTATGTTTTCCCGACAAAGAAATAAAGGGAGACTAGTATGGATCTACTTTGGGGGGGGGGGGGGCAAACTCAATTTCATTGAGGGCCACATCAGGGTTTTGTTTGACCTATGTGTGTGTGTGTGTGTGTGCGTGTGGCCAGCTCGATGCCACTCATTTTAGAGGGGCACCTATGGTGGCCAAGTGCTAAGGCAGGACCACCCTCAGACCCTCCCCCCTCCCTCATTATAATCTTCCTTCCTTCCCATTCCCTTCCCCCCTCCTTTCTCTTTCCTTTTCTCCTTTCCCTTTCTTTCCTTCCTTCCTTCCTTTTCCTTTCTCCTTCCTTCCCCACTTCCCTTCTTTATCTTTTGTCTTTCCTCTTCCCCTTCTTTCTTTCCTATCCCTTCTTGCATGCTCAATTGGCAAAAGGGAGAAACTCCCTCTCATTATAATCTTCCTTCCTTCCTTCCTTCCTTCCCATTCCCTTCCTCCTTCTTTTCCCTTTCTTTCCTTCCTTCCTTCCTTCCTTCCTTCCTTCCTTCCTTCCTTCCCATTCCCTTCCTCCTTCTTTTCCCTTTCTTTCCTTCCTTCCTTCCTTCCTTCCTTCCTTCCTTCCTTCCTTCCC